CCACACCCACACCCACACCCACACCCACACCCACACCCACACCCATTGTCTTATTCTTTCTATTATTCATTTTCTAAACAGACGGATGAAGCTTCTCGACTTCTTCTCTTGTCTGTCTATTGTCTCTCTCCTATCTATGTATATATACTTGCTGTTCTCTTCAATAAAATCAGATATTCATTCATCCAAAAGGTGATATATATGTAGCTATTATTATGAGCAAATAAATAGGTATGCTAGGTTTTACATAGAAAAACTAAAGCTGATTAAATTTTCAAATTCTTTTTAAGTATTAAATATATTTGGAATGACTGCAAAGCTCTTATCACGAGAAGAAATTTTAAGTTTAATGAAACAAGAAAATGATTCCGTTAAACTAATACCTAAGAAAAAAAAATCAAATACAAGTGAACTTTGGGATCATTTCCACCAAGTTTTTGTTAACAATCAACAACAGCAATACGTTTCGTGTAATTCGTGCAAAGTCTTACTTTTATTTACATCTGCAAATGGTACAAATAATATGAAAACACATTCGAAATCATGTAGTAAACCAGATCAAACAATTAGTAGTGGTCAAAAAAGCGTTACAGAATTTTATCCATCAATGAACAATATCCAAATTCCACAGCGAATTAAATCAGCAGTATTACGTGCATGTTCAGAATTTGCTGCTATTGATAATAGAGCATTCGAAACAATGGCAGGTGATGGATGCAAAATTCTTTTACAAGAAATATTTGATGCTGGTCGTGTACTTAACAGATCTTCATTAGATGTAGATGCACTTATTCCACATCCTACTACGGTAAAAGTTTCAAAAATTCGTATACTATTTAACTCAACTTTTTATAACCGTTTTCTGTATTCTTAGATAAGTAGACAGATAACTCGAATTTATGATGGTGCAAAAAAACAATTAGTTGACAATTGTGAAAGAATGGATAGTTTTTGTATTGTCGTCGACCAATGGACTGAGAAATACACCGGTAAGAAAATTCATTTATTTATTGTTTTACTGTTTTTCACCAGTTGGTACTTTTTTATGTTGGATCATTTAGGTCTAAGCTATTGTGGTATTTCTGTTCATCATACAGATCGTGATTTTCGTTTATTTAATTTTATATTGGGATGTTATCCATACGATGCTGAATCTCATTCTGCACAACATCTTCGTGCATTTGTTGATCAAAAATTAAATGAATATAAATTATGTTTAGATAATTCAAAATATGTTGTTACCGATAACGAAGCAAAGATGTTAAGTGCTTTTCGTGAAAATTGCACACGTATTGGATGTTCCGATCATTATATAAATCGTCAATTAAAACATGCATTTGAATCTCAACAAATTCATGTTTCTAAAACTGTTATTGAAAATGTTAATTGTGATGCTATTCAAGGTCTATTTTTTACGATAAAAAATATTGTTTCATCTGTACGTCGTTCACATAAACAACAAATTCTATCAAAGAAATTACAATCGTACAGTGATACACGCTTTAATGGTGCTCTATACATGCTAGATGTTTTTCGTGAATTATTTGACGAATTGCCGGCTGTTCTGATTAGCAGTAAATTAATTGATGCTTACCAAGAAATTGATAAACAAACATTAGATGATGTATGTGTTTTTCTTCATCCTTTTGAAGAAGTAATTGAATCTTTAAGTGAAAATAAAAAACCATGTTTACATCGTGTAATTCCATTAAAACAATATTTATTAAACAAATGTGATTCTTTCCAAGGTGATCAAACCAGTATAATCGAACTCAAAACATTTTTAGGTAAATACAGAACCGCATAAAGTTGCATTGTTTTTGTTTAAAGTTTAGAAACTAATGATAAAGATCGAAGTTTATTGTCAGCACTTTTTTATCTCTGCTTCGTCTTTTGTAGGCCATCGAATTAAAGTTGCTTGGATTATTACTAATGAGCACCGCCTAGCTACAATATTGCATCCAAAATTTAAAAAGTTTGAGAGTTGTGCTGACGAAAAGCAGGCTGCAATAGATGTGTTAAAAAATGAATTTGATGTCCATTATGATGCTAATCTTGATTCGATAAATTCTTTATCACCTTCAACAACAACAAGTACATCGATGATGAAATTAGCTTCTGCATCATCTTCACATGCTTCAATTAAATGTGCTTCTTCTGTACGGAAGGGTATTTTATCACAGTGTTTTGATCAACAACCGAACGGATTAATATCATCAACAAACAGATACCAAGAGGTTGACGATTATTTAAATCGAGATTTCTATTTTAAGGAAGACGAGGAACAAGATGGTGATATTGACGTTTTGGATTTTTGGCGTAAACAACAGAATTCATTTCCAACATTATCATTGATTGCGAGGAAAATTTTTGCAATACCGGCGTCTAACACCACAGTTGAACGCCTGTTTTCATCATCAAAACTTAGTGTCGGTGAACGTAGAACGAATTTAGGTGGTGAAAAGCTTAATCAACTCATGTTTCTTCAAAAAAACTTAGTTCTATTGAAAGAGCTTCGTCAAGTCAATAAAGTGCCAACAAAAAGATCTATTTCTGATCAAGTTTCAATGATGTCTGAACATCCAAGTGAAACAATTGTCAAAAAGGCACGAGAAGATAATACACATTCATCAGATGACGAAGGTGGGAATATAGAATGGTGCTGATATTTTTTTATAATGATCTATGGTGAACGTTAATTTTGTACAAATGATTTCTTTTGTTTTTATTTCTATTTCATGTAAATTGACTATTGAATTGATAGTTTTTGTTTACTTGACTTTAGTATTATGAAAAATAAACATGTTATATAAGAAAAGAATAAAAACATTTTCGGAGTCTCTAAAATTTACATTAACTCCGACTCCGACTCCGAAAAAAAAGATTGACTCCGATTCGACTCCGACTCCGACTCCGTCGGAGTCGGAGTCGAATCGGAGTCTATTGCAGGTCTCTAACCCACACCCACACCCCACACACCCACACCCACACCCCACACACCCACACCCACACCCACACC